AAGCTGGTAAATATTCGACTCCGATTTGTACCGATCAATGAGGGAGGACTCAGGTTGCCTGTCGGTTTGCACTTTATTGCATAAACTGGATGTCATGAGTGTTCGAATGGGGGTGCTGTGTAATGGGGCGTTAGGAGGATCATTAGTGTGGTTGGGATGAGGCGAGGTAACAACGGAGTAATCAGCAGACCACACGCCCGTGCTCGACGTTCGAGATTTGATTAAGCGGTGTGAGTCAAGGAGACATGTGGCGAGGCGGTTGGGTGGCGGGTATTGAGTAGAATTGTCTTCGCTTCTGAAATGAAAGCAACTAAAGCTAAAAGATCGTACCAGATATGCGCAGCCCATCAAATTGGTTTGGTCAACGATTGATTGTGGAACCCAGAATCTATATAATAATTAGAATAATTAGCCACTATGATACCAGCCTGGTGTCTTTAAAGAAAGCTTTACTCCCATATAAAAGGTTTTAATAAAGAAAAGAAACCCAACACTTGAGGTATTGTGGATCCATTTAGTACCGATGGTGGGTCCAGGAAAATTTGATTAGGACACAATATTAAACATATTAAAGAATTTGACATGCTTTGAAGCGTGTTTGCGTGGAACACAGAAGGGAAACTGAAGCCAGGTTGATTCTGGTGACAAGCTTAAGTGTCCAAAATAATCAGTGTAATTCAAATATAAGTAAACTATCGGTGTGAAAATGGCTCGGAAGTCACCATTTCAATCAGACGGTTAGGAGATTGAACCCTCAATACAACGACAACACTAAATGCGGATGTAATTAATAAAAAAAGACATAAAGAGCACTAACTCACTGAGAGTTTGTGTCTCCAGCTCCCGCGAACCTAGTGCACCAGGCAGACAGTCTTAGGAAGCGCTGCGCTGACGCTAACCAATAATCGTTATCGGGATCCGAAATATACTTTGAATTGTCCTTTCCAGAGCATGAAGTAAGGCATCCACTGACGACTCGTTTTGGGGCAAAATCCAACCCGTTGATGTATCTAGAAAGGACAATGCCTTAGGGATAGACAATCCAAGAAACATGGGGGTAAGTGTTTTAACTAAAACTTACTGAAATACAACTAGAAACATAACATCCTCGCAATTGAGATTAAGGATTGTCCGGAAGAGCGAAAGAGTTACCAGACCGAGCTGAAAAGTGCCAAAGTTATTCTAGCAAAAGGATGTAGAAGCTACAATTTGTATAAAAAAACCAATGTCAGTTTTCCTGTGGCAGTAACAGAAGGGGACATTAAGCACGACGAATAAAGCAAGCACATACATAGATTGGACAGCTCCGATGATAAGAACAGAACTACAAAGGCCATTCATGCCTATCGAACAGACAGCACCCAAATAAACAAGTGCCTTTGAATAATGGTATCAAAATATTCCGACGGCTTTAAGTTCATAGCACTCCAAAATTTCTTACTGGCAACACGATTTATGCAAGACAGGTTGCCTGGAATACAACTTCGTTGGTAAAATTTCTTCAAACATTTCAAAGTGTTGCATCGTATGAGCAAACATTTGATATAATGGAGTAAAGAATCGGTGAGCTAGAGAGATCCTTCTACTTTTTACGATATCCATCGTTGTTAATTACATAGACTAAAGGAAAAACAGCATTCAGGAGCTTAGGAAGGCCTTCAAGTGATGCTTTTTTAATCTAAAACACATCAGATACATGCTTCTCATTTAAAGAATGCTGAATTAGTACTTCAAATAAAAGAGCAATGGATGAAATATGAAGCGCAGAGATGCTAGCCTTAATAGACCTCATGCACGTGAGGCGAATTTGGTCAAGTTTGAAACTTAAACGGAGTTAAACGCGCCTGTGAAGGTGAAAATTGTGAGGCCAGGAGTTTGCAGAATAAGTTTTCGAGAAGATAGGACACTAGAAATGAGACCACGCATGCTAGGGGAGTTCAGCACCGATTTCCGCCATCCTATTGGTTCATCAGCAATCCAATGTTTGACCAATTTTCATAGAAGTAGACTGAGAGTTTATACGACGATTTAGTTTTTCATCGAGAAAGTGCTGTTTGTTACATTCATCTTGGTAACTGACGCATCCTCCTTAGACAACACCTACTTCTACACCCAAGGAGTGGAATAGTCCGAGCTTTGTTTGTTAATGATCTCGAGATCGAAAAGAGTTAAGAACGCCAAAGATTATAACGTGGTAAAAAAAAATAAACATTCTCGGGCCGAAAATTTGCGCAGTATGTGATTATTCGATGGTAAGGTAAGGCATAGGACCTGAGATATGGAGGAATGGACAATGACAATGTTCTAATCTTGAGGGTGTGCAAAAAACAATGCTGAGCTGAGCAAAAAGAAGGCAAACAGTGCAGTAAATTGACAATAAAGAAGAAAGAGAAACACCGTAACTAGACTCACTCGACGGGTTTCGTCAGTTTGATCCTGAAAATGCAATGGTAGAACCGACATATCGTACTTAACTATGAATGCACTCTAACACCTGACGCGCCACGCAAATGCGCTCATCGTGTCTCCGTGGATTTCAAGGGGAAAACATCATCAGGTGGGCCTTCTAAGGTGTACTGGGAAACGCTACTAGAGAAACTTGCAAAGATAGGGCAGCGTGCTTTTGTGCGGAATCAGCATGAGCCAAAATTCATGATATAACAACCAACGTGATCACTGCAACTACAAATGAATACCGACGGATTTAAATCAACATTCCTTATATTTACATCACAGGTGCGCAGTGTTACGCTTTCAAGAACCAATAAAATTTGCGTGGAAACAATATATTTACGGTAGGGCAGAACTTTTTGTAAAATCAAAATTACGGTAACAAAATAGGACTGCCGACACCGATTCCAAAAATAGCCTTCGCTATTGCGGTCGTTGCTTACATAAGCAACAATTCAGCAGAGAAATCAGTGATGGATTTAAGTGACAGGAGATGCTTCAATTTCCAATTATAACATTGGAACACCAGGTGATTTGAGTAAAAAGTCACTGAAGCAAGCAACCAAGATCGTAAGTTGCGACCACGGTACCGAAAATGGACATAAGAGCAGAGCAGAATGCAGTTTCGCAGGATCAGTCAAACCGGAAACGGTGAATTATCAATGGGTACGACAAATCTGAAATTCGGTTTAGGTTTTAAGAATGTTTAGATCTATGACCATTACAGCTACAAGAAATAAGCCTGCTACTTTACGTTCACTGACTAATCTAAAAAGCCAGATGCCTTTCCAATGGGGAGAGACTTGAAGGGCCAGAATACATGTTCTATGGAAAGCAAGGATGTTCGCGTTACGCCTTCCACGCAGCCGGTCAGCGAGATTTCGAGGAAATAGACGGTCTTCAGAATTTGCATTAAATGAGAATAACCTATTACGCATTTGAGGCCCAAATAACGGAGGTTATTTGTGGTTTATCATGCATGGACGAATTTTTAACAGTGCATAAAAGGCAAAGTGCTCCCACTACATAGCATTCAAAAAGATTTCATTCAAATGAGAAATGACAAAAAATCACAATATGAAACACAGTTGTGTACAGGGCGCGTAAGTGTGCATTAATTTCATTTACGCGATAAGAGGCTACAAGACTAACCGTTGAGCTGGCATTTATTCTGGTGATTAGGGACGATAGAACCGAGGAGCTGTCTTGATCTGAAGCGACAATGAAACGCAGAAACAAGCCAATTAGCGCTGGCTCTGTCAGTCGGCGTAAAAACAATTCCAGATAGGCCTCCGCGGCAGTCACCTCGTCTACTGTTTTCTGGGAAAAAGTAGCAAAATCACAAGACAGTATTCTCATCTTGCAGGTGCATAGAAGGCAAATGTGTAAGATTTGATAAGTCCTCCAGGTTTACGGTACACACGGCGAATGGCACCCGTTGTTACACATGGAAATTATAGTTGACAGCAGTGAAAAGAAATGGGCAACTTAGGTGGCCTTATGATTCCACAAAAGGCAGCAATTTCGTGGTACATAAGCGCGGCAGTAGAAACCCAGTGTGTATTAACACGGGAAAAAATTATTGCTGATTGAAAGGGGCTTGCGTTCTATAAATTGGGGTTTCTTACGTTACCCAAAACATACACCAATTAGCCTGCTGAATTACCTTGTACAAAGATGACTTGTAAACAAGAGAAATGTACCTGATTCAAAGCAGACCTAAGAACCGACATCAAAAATCCGGAGTAAATGTAAAACAGCAAGTCCTTCCGAACAGAAGGATGTGATATCTAAAAAAGACAAGAATCTTGACAAAGGCATTGTTGGTGCTGCCGAATAGGTACGTAATTTGCCATGACCCACGACGATGAGTACAAATGCAGGCAATTTAGACCAACACCCCTGTGTTAATGAGGAAACCCCAGAACAGTGTTAACCGGAATTCTTACTACTTATTACCGCAATAGCACTAAAAGCATGTGTCGGTGGAATGCGTTTGAGATTAAATGTACAAACATACACTAGGATCAGAAATAATGCCAAAGGATGCATACGACCAACAAGTTAGATTCTTTGAATACGCCGATCTGTGAGATCTTGGTAGGGAAATTTAAAAAAGTGGAGCGCAGTTACTACACAATAGTTCCTCAAGGCGCGGTAGATTTTTTGTAAATTGATTTAAGTTAGATAACCAAACACCAAGTACTAACTTTTGACATAAAAGCAAAAAATTTCTAGCAATTGTCTATCTAGAGGAAATTATACTCAAGCTGGTGTAGAAACAATCGATGAACCAAAGTTTGATGTCTTTCATGTATTTTGGTCCAACATAAAGAAAAGCAATCATGGGTGCTTTCAACTCGAAAGGTATTGGCTGGCGTGAAAAACCAGTTAAACTAACTTGTTTCTCTTGCTTACGCTAGACTAATGTCAAGTGAGACTATTCAGGAACCACTCAGGAAATGCGCAAAAGGCTTTGGCACGATTAACGGGGTAAGTGCAAGCCGTAGAATGCACACCCGTCTAACTGAGAAGCCAGAATGTGGTAGCCGGGTAGAATCGAAACGGACGATGCATTCAACGAAACGAAACTACGATTGCTATAAAATGAAGCTATTAATGCTGACAAATTTTGAGCCACAATATAAACACATAAGCTGGAGAAATAAAAAGTTGACACTAGACACCGCGGTAAAACTACCTTTGGTAAAAAAAATCCGTTGAAAAATAAATTTACGCGGGATTTTACTAATTGAATTTCGATGACCTGAAAACGATGACTGTAATACACACAGAGGGCTGTAAGTAAGCTACAGCAGGAGGATAAGCACAAAAGCGTAATTGACAGCCCAGTTTGATACAACTTCGAAGAACAAGTTCCTACCCGAATGGCCAAATTGCAAAAGTCAAGAGTCTGCAGAAACTGCACGAGTGGCTCACAGGCGGACCACTCCGGTTTGGTTATTCGGTGCCAGCCAGCACCATGGACCCGAAGTGTTTCGGTAGATCGCCCCCTATCACCGCCACTAGGATAGCCGTCGGAGCCGTTGAGGACGAGGCGTTTGGGAAGGCAGGAGTAGTGCGCACTTAGACCCGTAGCCAAAACCTAAATTTAGAAGCTCCACAAATTAAATGGTCGCCTCAAGTAAATGGCATAAAGTAGGGCATTAACCTGCTCTAAATCTGCGCTACTATAGTGGATTTGAAACAAAGAGCGGGTAAACATTGTGACTTGAGGTATAGTGCAATATTTACCGGGTTATTCTGATTTGCCTGATTCTCGCATGATGAGCGCCCTTTTGAATTCGCAGACCCAGTGGGCGTAAAATCACTTTAGCATGTTTTCTTTAATGTTTACCTTTCGGATAACGCATGCACGTTTCATGTTCCGAGCGGCAAAGTTGTTTTCAGGTAATCAATGTCGGTGTAACTGTCTTATTACGGGAATGAGAGTTAAGTAAGCATATATTGTTTACGATGTGCATGAACTTCGGGTTGACTTATGGAGCACACGACCGCTTCGCATTAACAGTCACTCCTCAAATCACAGCAGTTTATACGCCAAAAGAACATCGAGCCCATTACGGTTAAGACTATTTGTGGTGTGGTTTGACCTCTTTTGTAATACACTTTGAAAAATAATGCCGTGAACATCGCTCCATGCAAGCACTATATTGGCACCTAAAATATTCGCTCTACTTAACGCGGGAGAAATCTAAAGCCGGAGCAGTCGCTGACAGGCAAATACAAACAGAAAGCCAAAAGGTAGTCATGTGGAATGATGCATATAGACAGCAATCAATTACTTGACAAATTAGATGGGATCAAAGAATGCATTTTTATAAACGAAAGCAGACAGCCAAGAAAAATTTCAATGAAAGAACATGTTAGGACTTTAGTTTCATCAACTGGAAAACATACCGGGCAGATATCAGATTGTGAGGTAAGATAAGCAGCCACTTCGGGGTCACGATCTGAGAGTGCAAGGATAAGGAGAAGAGCGTCACGAGCATGATTGCCGACGGGTCCTTGCAAATGTAGTAAAGGCACAAGATTTGAGAAGATGAGATACTCGTTGCGTGTTACATCTCGCGAGACCTAAAAGAAACCTCGCCGGTTGTCAAACCAAATCTGACTCAAACTAACATATAATAAAAATCGAACAATGTACTAACATTGTCCCTTTTAGCACTGTAATTTCAAGAATAAACGTATTCCTCATTTAAATAAAAGTTATTTCTTATGCGACGTGACGAATTAAAAGCTGTAACTAGAGGAAGTCTGTTAATAATGTACAAACACTGCAATTTCAAACGAAAAAAAATTAACTTGAAAGTAAACACAACGGTTCTCCATCGCCGCTTTGCGGATATAGGACGAAAGTCTCATATTGCTACCACTTTATTAATCCTGCTACTCGTGTTCCAGACTGCCAAAAATAGGGCAGGTTTAAGTTAATATCCAGTAGTCAATCAATGCAAATTTAACTGAAATGTAGAATTTGTCTCTAACAGTCGACACGTTACTCCAATTCGATTCATTGAGAAGTGAAAAGCCCAAAAAAGCGAAACAAACATGTGCGCTATACACATTTACCTGTTTAGTGAATTCTAGAAGAAGGGGATCTCGGCACATCAGCACACACAAAGTGTGAAGTAGACGACTTAAGCTGAGGCTCACAACAGGACACTGATCAAGAAGCTTTAACAGTGGTTGAGTAATGCCGTTAGAATAGAGAAGTTGTTGCTTTGCCTGGCTTATGAGAAACTCAAATTCGCGCAATAAGCTATTCAGAACAAAAATTTTCACGTCTTTAGCGGGGAAATCCGACCCGATACCCCAGGAGACAAGATCCATTAGAAACCCAGAGTTGACCAGAGTATTCAACACTGGTCCAAAACGGAGCAGACCAGCATCGCCTTCATCTAAATTAAGGAAATATATAAATTGAACCTTCAAGTAACGGTTAACTTAATTAAGTCCACCAAACAAGAGCAAAAGATTGTCATTAAAAGTGGGCATCGCCAATTGGAGGACAGTGTGCACGCACAAAGTCACAAAATTAATATTTAATTAATATCTAACCACATTAGTTCATTTACCTAAATGACGACATAAGCAATAGGAATTACGCCTAGTGAATACGCAAAAAACAATACTTAGGTGAGGATAGTTCAGTTTAACCTACTACTTTACAAATCATTTTGAAAGAAAAATTGTTATAGCACGAGTACAAACAACAGGAACCGTGCTAAAC